CTCCCCGCCCAGCAACCCAGCAACCGAGCAACCCAACAAAACAGAAACCAATTAAAAAAATGCTCTCATTACGCTCTCCCGACGAAACTCCAAGCGGTTTCCGATATTTGCTCCGGCGAGGCTCCCGAACGGGGTCCCCATGGGATACCTATGGAAACCCCGCAGGGCCTATGGAAACCCTGCAAGACCTATAGGATCCCTAGAGAGCCCCTATGGAAACCCTGCAGGGCCTACAGGATCCCTATAAGGCCCCTTATGGAATCCCTGCAGGGCCTATACGATCCCTACAAGGCTCCTATGGAAACCCCTGCAAGGCCTATAGGATCCCTATAGGGCCCCTATGGAAACCCTCCAGGGCCCAGAGGATTCCTACAGGGTTCGTTCCAGTAGTCATAATTTTTAGGAGTAGTCCTACTACTAGTAGTAGTAGTAGTAGTAGTAGTAGTAGTAGTAGTAGTAGTAGTAGTAGTAGTAGTAGTAGTAGTAGTAGTAGTAGTAGTAGTAGTAGTAGTAGTAGTAGTAGTAGTAGTAGTAGTAGTAGTAGTAGTAGTAGTAGTAGTAGTAGTCGTAGTAGTAGTAGTAGTAGTAGTAGTAGTAGTAGTAGTAGTAGTAGTAGTAGTAGTAGTAGTAGTAGTAGTAGTAGTAGTAGTAGTAGTAGTAGTAGTAGTAGTAGTAGTAGTAGTAGTAGTAGTAGTAGTAGTAGTAGTAGTAGTAGTAGTAGTAGTAGTAGTAGTAGTAGTAGTAGTAGTAGTCGTAGTAGTAGTACTACTACTACTACTACTACTACTACTACTATTACTACTACTACTATTATTACTAGTAATAGTAGTGGTAGTAGTCGTCGTCGTAGTAGTAGTAGTAGAAATAGTAGTAGTAGTAATGGTAATATTGAAAGTAGTGTTATGACTTGTAATACAAATGACAATGTAGTACGACTAATAGTAGCAGTAGTAGTAGTAGCCGTAGTAGAAGTAGTAGTAGTAGTAGTAGTACCAGAAATAATTGTAGTAGAAGAAGTAGTGGTAGTGGTAGTAGTAGTAGTAGTAGTAGTAGCAGTACCAACGGGAGTAGTAGAAGTAGTAGTAGTAATAGTAGTAGTACCGGAAGTAATAGCACTGGTAGTAGTAGTCGTACTAGTAGTAGTAGCAGTAGTCGTAGTAGTAGAAGTAATAGAAGTCGTAGTAGTAGTAATACTGGTGATAGTAGCAGAAGGAGTAGTAGTAGTAGTAGTAATAGTAGTAGTAGTAGTAGTTGTGGTAAAGTAGTAGTACGGATTATAATAGAAATAGGGGTGGTAATACGAATAGTAGTAGTAGTAGTAGTAATAGTAGTAGTAGTAGTAGTAGTAGTGGAAGTAGTAGTACTAGTAGTACAAGAAATAATAGCAGTAGTCGTAGTAGTAGTAGTAGTAGCAGTAGTTGTAGTAGTAGAGGTAGTAGTAGTAGTGGTAGTAGCAGTAATAATACTAGCAATACTACTACTAGTAGTAGTAGTAGTAGTAGTAGTAGTAGTAGTGGTAGTAGTAGTAGTAGTAGTAATAGTAATAGTAGTAGTATTAATACTAATAGTACTAGTAGTAGTAGTAGTAGTAGTAGTAGTAGTAGTAGTAGTAGTAGTAGTAATAGTGGCAGCAGTAGTAGTAGTGGTAGCAGTAGAATTCGTGATAACACAAAGTAGTAGTACTCCGAATCAAGGTAATGGTAACTCTGGGATTCAGGGAACCCTAAGGAAATCCGAACAATCCTTCAGGAATCCGAAGAACCCATAGGAATCCTTGCAATCCCTAGGGAATCAGAGAACCCTGAGAATCCCTAGGGAATCCTGCGAATCTTTCTGGAATTCTTGGGAATCCCGACGGGATCCTAGGAAAACTTGGAGATCCCTGTCGCTGATCCCATGCGCATGGGATCCCACACAGATCCCATACGGCCTGGTAGGGCTGGGCTCGGCTCCGGTTGGATTCACATAGGATTGGAAGCACTCCCCGCTGGACGGGGCGTAGCCCACCCCCACGGTGGGGGCCGAAGGCCGTTCAGGAAGGGGGGGGTGCTGGGTCGCTGGTTGCGCGGGGGGGGGGCGACCTTCAAACCCGCCTTATTCAACAACAACAACAACAACAACAACAACAACAACAACAACAACAAACAACAACGACAACGACAACGACAACGACAACAGCAACAGCAACAGCAACAGCAACAGCAACAACAACAACGACAACAACAACAACAAAAACCAACGACGACGACGGCGACGACGACGACGACACCAACAAAAACAAACATACCCGAATTTCCCAGTCGTTCGGCCAGCCTTGTGGTCAACAAGCTCGGGCGGGACAAACACACTCGACGAAGACACCGAGTGAACAAAACAGCACAAAAACGAAAATGCCAGCACTACCAACAACACGGCCAGCATCAAGAGCCACGGCAGAAACGACATTAACAGCAACAAAACGAATACCAATACCAACATGCGCTTATGAAGCAGCGCTCATCGCAGTCATTCTTAGTTAAAAAACCCTCTGGCGTGCTGTGGTCTGATCACAACGAAAGCCACGAACTATGCTGGCAAATCCTATGGTCCGCACACAACAGAAACAGCAGCAACAACAATACGACGAGCAAAAAACACCACCAACAACAACAGCACAACTACAAACAACAAACACCGGCACCACCAAAACACCAAAACACCGTCATAACGTGGCGCCGCCTCACAAGGGTATTCCGTGACATTCGAACGCCACCTCCCAGACGACCTCGAGATTGCCTCGAGATTGCCCCAAGATGACTCCGTGAACCCTAGCTGACCCCAAGATCGCCCCGATGTGGCTCCAATGTGACTCCGATGCGTTTCTCCGTTCTGCCCGCGCTCCTCGGTTGGGTCGATAGGACGGATGGGGGTCGTCGTCGTCCTCGTCCTCCTCCCCCTCGTCCTCGTCGCCCTCGTCGTCGTCGTCGCTGCCCGCCTGGCCCTCCCAGCCCCATGCATCACAGAGAATCGAATCCCCGACACAAACCGAATACATAGTTTCTCTGGAGGGGGAGGAGGAGGAGGAGGAGGAGGAGGAGGAGGAGGAGGAGGAGGAGGAGAACGAGGAGGAGAACGAGGAGGAGGACGAGGAGGAGGGTCAGCCGACGAGAGCCCCAACACGGCCCAACAGGGCCTCCAGCCTGGCCCAAGAGGTCCCCAAGACGGCCCCGAGGGGCCCGAGGCGGCCCGAGAGGGCCCCAAAATGACCCAACAGGCCCCCAGCGATGATCCCTCGTGCCTGCGGACCCTTACGTCGCGAGCTGCGTGAGGGATGCGTCCGATTCCAAGAATTGTGAGGACGTCGCCAGCGAAACGGTAGTTCCCCGAACAAGCACGTACAACGTCATTGACAAAGATTGTGTGCTTGAAGGCTTTGCTGAAATGGTGAAAACAACGTGTGGTCTGGGACCCCGTCGACGGGATCTGCGTGAGGAGTTCGTCCCATGTTTTGAATGTGCACGGATCTCCCGAGAAGACGTATCAATCACTTCTGAGCTCTACTCCCTCGGAGGGGCGCGCATGAAACCATGTTAACACGTACATGTTTACACGTGTGTGGATCGATCGTCTGACCGTCCCCGTACTAATCCAGTGTTGCAACGGGGCCCGCCCGTCCTGTGGATCTCTCGAGGCCAACTGTGACTTTCAACGAATGCGACAAAACTGTCAGGGAGACAGTACTGTGATTTGAAGCGCTTCCAGTGCAATGCTTCACCATGTTATCATAAAGCCTTCAACACACACACACACACAAAGAGAGACGCACACACACACACACACACACACACACACACACACACACACACACACACACACGCGCGCGCGCGCACACACACACACACACTGAGCTTCAAAAATGTCGCACCTACTTTTTCAAAAAGGGCAGTGTTTGGATATAGGTGACCACTGTAGTACTGCAACTCTTCTCTCACCTCTGTTATCCCATGCCCACAGGTATCCTTCTCAACATCTCATCCCATCCCAACCTGCCGCAACCACAACGTGTCTTTTGTGTGAGCTTGGGCACGCACGTCCACCTTGTGTACAGAGCGATATTAAGAAACCTCACTCTATACATATGTGTAAAAAAAGGAAATAGAGAAAGAGAGAGAGAGAGAGAAACAGAGAGAGAACACACCAAAAATGATCACGACAAAAAAGACAGAGAGAAAAAGAGAGGGAGAGGGGGAGAGAGACAGAGAGAGAGAGAGAGAAATAGAGAAACCAAAAACCAAGCCGAAGAGAAAGAGAGAGGGAAAGTAAGTAAGAAAGGAAAAAGAGATCGAGAGTGTGATAATGAGAACCAATGGAAAAGAAAGTGGGAGACGAAAACAAGCACACACGACCATTTTTGCGTCGGCGGCTGGGCAAAGGTTGCTGCTCCGGCGATCGGGCATCAGTGGGGCGCGCTAGCTGCAAATTGGGCCGCAACGCACGGGAGGAGAGGAGGAGACCCCGGCGCAACGGGAAGAAGCACACACAGACACACAGAGACACACAGAGACACACAGAGACACACAGAGACAGACAGACAGACAGACAGACAGACAGACAGACAGACAGACAGACAGACAGACAGACAGACACGCAGACAGACAGACACGCAGATAGACAGACAGACAGACAGACAGACAGACAGAGAGAGACAGACAGACAGACAGACAGACAGACAGAGACGGACAGACAGAGAGAGGGAAAAAGAAAGAGAGAGAGAGAGAGAAAGGGGGGGAGAAAACAAAATCTTGGAACACACACCAGCCACAGAGTCAAGCACATCGCCCTTGCGGAGGAGGGGAGCAGCGGCAGGGCAGGGACGGGAGGGTAACTAAGGAGGGGTTTGAGGGGGGGGACGGGGAGTGGGAGGAGGGTGAGGGGGAGGAGGGGGAGGAGGGGAGGAGGGGAGGGGGAGGGGGAGGGAGAGAGGGAACGAGAGGGAGCCCCCTCTGATGGCCCCCGCGAGCTCCTCCACGCGCCTGCGCAGCCTCGCCCCCTTCGGATGCCGCTGCACAAACTCGCCCCGGACCACGCCGGGCGACTCCTCGTGCTCGAGCGCCTGGCGAGCCTCCTGGACCGGGTCCGCCAGCCCGGCGAGGGCCTGGCGCCGAGGGCCGGGCCCGCAGCGCAGCGCTTCCCGTCCCGCTCTCGTCTCTGGAGGCCTCCCAGGTGGGGTCTCCGGGCAGCCGGGATCGGGGGGTCGAGCGCAGCCCTTCTGCACGCGGACGTCGCCGATGCATCGCAAACGTCGCCAATGTATCGGCGACGTATCGGCGATGCATCGGCAATGCGGCGCGATCCTCCGACCCCATCTGCTCGGAGCCCGCATGGGAGGCCTTGATCATCATCACCCGCCATCCTCCCAGACCCCCATCGCGTCGTGAAGGAGCGCGACGTGACGTGATTGGTAACGGTCGGCCCTTGGGAGCGATTGTCGTGTTCTGGGACCGTTCAAGGCAGACTCTGGATGAAGAACCGGTCTTGGAAGAAGAAGAAGAAGAAGAAGAAGAAGAAGAACGAAGAAAGAGGAAGAAGCCGCGCCTAGACGGCGCAGTGGCAGACTGTGTGAAAGCACATGTGATCATAAAAATGATCACGCAGGGCTCAATCAAGCAAGGGCGCGTGCCTCGCCGGGCCTCGGATGACAGTGCACAAGCATGCTGGTGCAGCGCGAGGGCGGACGGCAAAGCACTGGCCAGGGAAGGGAGGGCGGGATGAAGGGAGGGAGGGACGAGGAGGAACCGGTCCTGGGGGAAGGGTGTTCTAGACCTCTGGGGGTCCAGGTTGGGAAGGGAGGAGCACGGCCTCGGGGGTCTGGGCGCCCCGTTTCCCTGTCCCAGCCGCCCTCCCCCCTCGCTCTCCCCCTCCCCCTCTCCCACGAAGAGCGGCAACCTCTTCCCACTCACCCGCACGTGCCTTCCCGGCCGGGTGGCACCCGGCTGGCCGGGGGATCGATCTGGCGCGCGGAGGCAACTCTGGATGGGGCACCAATCGCGCCCCCCCCCCCGGATTCGAGTGGGGAGGGCAGGGGGGGAAGCTGGGGCGGCGGAGCGCCAGAGGCCCCTGGAGGCCGACCCAGTAAGCCTGGTGTGCCGTCGAGTTTGATCAGCAGGCCGACCCTGCCAGACCAAGGGCCCCCCTGTGTCCCGCGTTCCGCGACCCATGCCTTCCACGTTCCCACGGAGGTGTGGTCCTCGTTCGGTAGCAGATCAAGGGAGCCTCGTATGCCCCCGCAGTTTCGTCTTTAGAGTGCGCTATCGTCGATTAGAGTTTGGAAAGGTAGCCCCGAATTAGCATCGATTAGCGTGGATTTATCGTCGACTCGCGTCGATTTAGCGTCGATTAGTGTGGATTCGGGTGTTTGTCAAGAGGGGGTGATGGACCCTCCGACGGAGCTGGCCCATCCCCCCGCCTCTTCCTCCCTCCTCCTCCTCCTCCTCCTCCTCCTCCTCCTCCTCCTCCTCCTCCTCCTCCTCCTCCTCCTCCTCCTCCTCCCTTCTCCTCCTCCTCCTGCTCCTACTCCTCCCCCCTTCCACCCGCGCTCGTGGCCGGGGCGGCGCGCGAGGCGCTGCGCGGGGATCTGCGGGAGCGGCCGGAGGCAAGCGGGAGGGCGCGAGCTGAAGGGTCCGCGAACGACGCCGGAGAGGGGCACCCCCGCGCCCCCGGCGAGCGCCGGCCCGAGGCCCGCCCTGCGCCGCCGGGGCCCCGCGGGCCTGGGCCCGCGGAGGGCCGCGGGCGGCGGGGAGCAGCGGGCGCTGCGCCGTGAGGGGGGGGGGTCTCTCGGGGGCGCGCAGGCATGGAGTGGCGATCCCATGTATTTGGCGCGCACCCCTCCCAAGAATGCGGCCGGTGCCGCCTCGCTCGGCGGCGGAAGCCCGCGAGTTGCCATGGAAACGGACCCCGTCGCTAATCCACGCCCCCTTCGTCCATGTTTGCGATCGCCTGAGTCTCTCACCTCGCAGGAGTCTCCTCGGGATTGCCCCCATAGGAATCCCCGTGGGACCCCGCAGGGGAGGCCGGGGCCTCGGGGCCCCGGGGGGCGGCAAGCCTCCACGGCGAGCCCATGGGGGGGCAGCGAGAAGGGGCGGGCCTTCTCGGGGGGCTCGGAAGTCCCCCGGCCTGCTGAGAAGTCTTCTGGGCCTTTTCCGAAGGCACGGAAGACCTAATTATCAGGAGGCCCGAGGGCGCCTGAGGAGTCCCGCCGCCCTTCTGAGGAGGCCTTCTCCTGCTCGTTTCTCCCCCTCGCTCGCCGCCGAAAGTCGGGGGGGGAGCGATGGAGCGTGCACCCTCCGCGCCCCTCTTAGGGCCCCTTTTGGGGGGCCCCTTGTGGGGGGGAGCCCTACAGGGGGCACGCAGGGTGCACCCTTCGTCCCCCCCCCCCGACTTGCCGAGGCCCCCCCCCGCCCACACTGATCGCAACGCCCGAGAGCGGCCGAGGACGCTCCCGGGGCCGCGGGGCCTCCCGCAGCGGCGGCGCCTCCAGGATCGCCCGCAGCGGCACCACGCCGCGGGGCGCCGCCTGCGGCGGGCGCGGGCCGTCCGTGGCGTGTGGGGGCAACGAGCGGCGGCCGCCCCCGTGTGCGGCGAGCTCGCGCCGTGCCGACCCCGGCGGTGGTGGTGGGCCTGCTTCCCACTACGACCACCATGACTTAGAGGCCCAGGGAAGGAGGAGGAGGAGGAGGAGGAGGAGGAGGAGGAGGAGGAGGAGGAGGAGGAGGAGGAAGAGGGGGGAGGAGGAGGAGGAGGACAAAAAAAAAAAAAAAAAAAAAAAAAAAAAAAAAAATAAAAAAAATAACAAAAAAAAAAAAAAAAAAAAAAAATAAAAAAAACGAAAAGCGTCGGCCGCCCCCGTGTGCGGCTAGCTCGCGCCGTGCCGACCCCGGCGGTGGTGGTGGGCCCTGCTTCCACTTACGACCACCATGACTTAGAGGACCAGGGAAGATGGGAGGAGGAGGAGGAGAGGAGGAGGAGGAGGAGGAGGAGGAGGAGGAGGAAGAGGAGAAGGGAGGAGGAGGAGGAGGAGGAGGAGGAGGAGGAGGAGGAGGAGGAGGAGGAGGAGGAGGAGGAGGACCCCCCCCTCCTACCTATGGCAGTAGTGGTGGCGGAAGACAGGCCCGCCGCGTGGGCTCCCGCCCCCCGCTGCCGACCAATGCCCCGTGCCCGACGCCAGCCCCGTCGGCGTGCCCGGCCGCTCCTCGCGGCGGCACGCCCGCTCCCCGCGGCGGCCCTGCTCCGTCGCGGCCCGAGCCCGCGGGTGCCCGCGAGCTGCACCGGCCAGCCGCGGGCACGCCGGCGGCGGGCGCGTGTCGCGCCGACACCCCGGCGCGGGCTCCCGACACCGCGTGGGCTGGGCAGCCTCGGAGTCGAGCCCCGGGCTCTCGGGGACCTTCTCGGGAGCGGCGCGTCCTGACGTGTGCCCGCCCCCGGCGAGGGCGATCGAGGCAGGCTCGTGTCGCGACCAGCACGGCGTTGGCTTCTGACACCGCGTGGATCGATCAACCTTGAACGATCGGCGGCCTTGCGACCGCCAGATCGTTCCATTTTGGCCGATTCTGGGCCACTGGCGGCGTTCAACCTAGAACCCCCGCGGCGGGGTCTTTGCCCCGTCGGCACGACACAACCTACCGTACCGGCACTTCCATGGACAGAGCTGTTCCATCTACTTCCGAGGACCTGGACACGTTGGCTTGAGCTCACGACTGAGCGGCGAGCACCACAAAAGCGAGAGGAAAAAACATGCCACGGAACTCCCTCCCAATCGGCAGATTCAACAATCGCCGTCACTGCACTGTCGAGTCACCGACTTGAACGTTACGGCCGACAGCCTGTCAAAGGCCGAGACGTCACGGCTGCTGACTTACACACTGGCAAGAACTTGCATATCCCAGATGGCATCTTCTGGCGACCGGGAAACATATGAACTGACAGCTTCGCTGTTGGGGTAATCATTGGCTGGCCCCTGGATGACGACCCGTGTTTTACCACAGTGAGTCTGGTCGCTTGCTTCGGAGAGACATATGTCACGAGCAAATGCTTTGGTACGTCGGGAGTCTCCTGCGCAGGGAACAGCAGGGGCAGCAGGAGCGAGCGTCTGTCCACGGGAGGGGCATTGCGCCTTGGCGCGGGCGCTGCAGGAACGCTATGTGCAGTCCCTGCCACAAGCCCTCTGGGCGTGAGTGGTCCAACAAGCTTGTCCTGCTACCCCCCCGTCTTCGCCTTCGGGGACGAAGTTCCCCCTCCCCCTACCCCTTCCCCCCCCTGGGCAAGGGGGTGGAGCGTCAAAGATGACCCAAGATGGCTTCAACAGGGCCCCAGAGCCCAAGATGACCTCCATGATCGCCCAAGGTAGCTCAAGATGGCTCAAGATAAGCATGCCTTCCAGAGCCTTCAAGACCGCCCTCGGACGGCTCCAAGTGCCCTCCGAGACTCCCCAGGAGGCCCCCCAGAGGCCAAAAGCCTTCGTTGTGCTTTGTCACCAGATCGTTTCCGATAGGCTCTTGATGCTTCTGGATGGCTCCAGAAGGGCCCAAGAGGGACCCGAAACGGCCGTGACGGCACCCAAGACCGCCCCAAGAGGGCCCAAGAGGGCCCCAAGAGGCAACTGTGAGAGCTCATACGAAGGGAGGCGGGGGCGTACCTAAGACACCCCCCATTTGACAGATAGCTTCCAAGATGGAACCAAAAGAGCCCCCGAATCTCCCAAGAGCGGCCCAAGATACCCTCAAGAGGGCCTCAAGAGAGGCCCACGAGACCACAAGAAGATGCCAAGAACGCGACGAAGGCTTCCAAAATTCACATCCCTGATCAGGGCACCTTGCCCGGCTGGTGGGGATACTGTTGATCGCAAGCGCACCGGGAGACGCCGGACGCCGTCAAAAGGTCGCCGCAAGCGGGCTACGAGCGAATGGCGCACCAGGAGGGGGAAGGGGAGGAAACGAGAAGACCGCGGAGGGAGGAAGCTGGCGGCGATACTTTTTTGATCGCGAGCGCACTGGAGGACGCTGGGCGCCGTCAAGGAAAAATGGTGGGGATACTTTTTCGTCGCGGCCGCAGGTGAGCGCGCAAGCAGCGCCAAGGGTCGGGCGGGCTACGCGCGAACCTAATTGCCAATTGGTGGGGATACTTTTTTAGTCAGCGGCCGCAGGCGAGCGCGCCAGCGGCGAGTCCAGTCAAAGCGGGGCACGCAACGACGAATTAATCCTAAACGGCGGGGCGGAGCCTCACGCAGCACCTCAGCGGCGGGCCGGCGAGCGGAAGGGGTTGGCCGTAGCTGACTAAAAGTACTGCCAGGGTGCACGTGTGCAACGCGTCGGAAGCTGCAGGTAGTCGGGAAGACCGGCGACCAGGGACAGTAGCAGACGCGTACTTAGATGCAAGGGCGCACGCCCCCAGACTACAGCGAAAGTACCAGGGTGGCCGCAGCCAAGTGAACCGACTGACGGAGGTCGAATTGGTGCCCAGTGTGGGCGTGAGCGTTGGCAGGCCGCGAAGTACCAGGGTGGCCGGGGCCGCCAAGTCCAACAGCAGCACAACACACAAGTGCGAGAAGCAGCCAAGCTGCAGCGCGGCCAAAATGGCGCGGGGCACCACGAAAGAAACCGTGGAGAGCTCGACAACCCAAGCAGCGGTCCGAGTCCAGACGGGTGCAAGAGGTGGCGCCAGCGAAGTCGCGCACCAAAAGCCCTGATAAGGGAACGCGTGCCCGTAGTCAGCGCACCGGTGGTGGCGACAGACGTGCACTGACACCGCAGGGAGAACTCCAGTACTGAACAAGGGTGGCAACCGCGGAGAGGCGGGACCACGGAGTGCCTAGGCTGAACCACTGACGTCCATGGCCCCCACCGAGGAGATGGAAGACCGCGACATGGGCGGAAAGAGAGAAGCCGGGGCCGGTGGGGGACGAATTAGTGGGGATACTTCCTTTTTGGTCGCGGCCGCGGGCGAGAGCGCACACGGCGAGTCGTAAGTCTGGGGCGCGGGCTCTTTTGGAGCTCCTTTCGACGGGCTTGGAGCGTCGGAAGGTTATAAAAAACGCGAGAAATCAATATATGTATACATATGCACACATACATACATACATACATACATACATACATACATACATACATACATACATACATACGTACAGACAGACAGACAGACAGACAGACAGACAGACAGACAGACAGACAGACAGACAGACAGACAGACAGACAGACAGACAGACAGACAGACAGACAAAGAGACAGACAGACAGACCTGCACACATACATACATACATACATACATACATACATACGTACATGCATGCATACATACAGACAGACAGACAGACAGACAGATGGACAGACAGAGAGACAGACAGACAGATGGACAGACAGAGAGCATACATCTATGTATATTGAAAAAATGACCTCTTCGGGCTCTCTCGGGATGCTTCTCGGAGCTCTCTTGAATTCTCTTGTAGGCCTCTTGGGCTGTGTATTTGTGGTATCGCACCCATCTTGGGCCACGTTGCGACTATCTGGGCTGTCTTGGATGGGCTTCTGGGAGCTCCAGGGCCGCTCTGGGGTGCTCTGGGAACGGTCTGGGAAACCCCGGTCCTCCCATGCCCCCGGGGCCCCCGGCCCCAGGCGCCTGGGCCTCCTGCACGGTATGTACATATACACAGACACACACCTATCCGCACACGTGAATACATCCACATATATACACAAATGCATACACCATAACCGTTTTCCTTTGCTGGGCAACGCGGAGACTCCGGCGCAATGTCGGCGTTTCCAGCTCAACTCTGCCCCGGGTATGTTCCCGAAAAGAACCCTTCAAATCAACATCCGCACTGCAAAGGGTCATCGACGTCAACTGGGCAGGTGGCACACGATGTCTAACACTACGTTCGCGGAGATCTGGACATTATGAAAGACCTGCTTCTTTAGCATACTCACTATCGGTAGCCCAAAACTCATAAACGAATTCATCGGCTGGCCCGCATCGTTCATCGAGCTCTTAGCAAGTACCATTCCACCCCGCCCCGCGCTTGCAATTGACGACGCCTCCGTAGTCGTCAACACGATGCGCCCAAGTCTTCGGATCGCGGAGGGCCAACGCGAGACCCCCTTGTGGCGCGCAACTCAGAATATACAGAAAATATACGATGTGCATGAAGGCGTTCGGATGCCGGGCGCTACAACTTCGGGAAGCAATTTTCGGAAAGTCTGCAGGGCCTGCGTCGTCTTGCACTGCTCATTCGTCGAATTCTTCATAACGCACGTTTGTTGTGTTGGCAACCACTCAAAAACTTCACCGTGAGTGCTCAACTGATGCATCTTCGCGTTGCCGTCGATCTTCCACTGGGCGGCAGCCAAGCCCATCTCGCAATGAAGCGTGTCAACCGATCGATTGCCGCAGCGCCAATCCCCGCGCTCATGAACCGCAAGGCGGGTTGCGCGACTGGCTGCCGAGAATCAATCGTCCCGGGCAATTCAGTCTGGGCATGCTCCCGAAAAGAATCTTTCCAATCAACATCAGTACCCCAACGTTGATTGGTGTCAACTGGGCAGCCGGCACACGATGTCTGACAGAACCCTCGTGGAGATTTGGACATTATGATAGATCTGCTTCTTTACCATACCCCCTATCGGAAGCCCATCATTCATTAACGAATTTATGGGCTGGGCCACATTATTCACCGAGATCGTAGCAAGTACCATTCCACCCCGCTCCGAGCTTGCAATTGACGTCGCCTCCGTGGTCGTCGACACGATGCTGTGTCCAAGTCTTTGGACCTCGGAGGTTCAGCGCGAACCCCACTTGTGGCGTACAATTCAAAGCCTCGTCTAGACAGGAATAATACGGTGTGTCTGAAAGCGCTTCGATGCAAGACGAAATATATTCGGGCAGCAATTTTCGGAAAGTCTGCAGGGCCTGCGTCACCTTGAATTGCTCATTCGTCGACTTCTGCATAAGGCACGTTTCTTGTGTTCGCACCCACTCCAAGACTTCCCTGTGAATGCTCAACATATGCTTCTTCGCATTGCAGTCGATCTTCCACTGGGCGGCAGCCAAGCCCATCTTGCCACAAAGCTTGTGAATTCCATGAAAATCTGTAATGCAAAGCCCCGCGCTCATGAACCGCAGGAAGGGCGGCGCGACTGGCTGCCGACAAGCAAGCGTCCCCAGCAATGCATTCGGGTTCAGGAGGCTCCCCAGTGGGCACACTGGCAGTCCGCTGCGCTTCGGACGACTTGGTGGGGGCATCGGCGGGCCGTCGGAGCAGTTGCGCGCACATGATGTCTGCAAAGCAACACATCAGGTACACCCATGCACTCGAACACGCAACGACTGAAAAAAAACGCCGCCAGTCCAAGCGGCAGCAGGACACGTACAAGCGATTACACCGTTCGGGCGGGAAAGCTTGAGTCACTAAAGGCTTGACATCTTGATCCCAAAGACTTGAACCAAAATGGCTACGAATACATGGACATAGAGATAGACATACGTGTGAATACAACTGGCGGGGCCTGAAAACCCGAACCCCACAAATGCTGTCATCTCGTGAGACGGCAACTTTTACTTCAGCCAGCTTCGGCCGGCCTTCTGCGTGCTTCCGCTGGCGGAGGAGGACCTTATTTCGCGGCCTTCTGCCCCCTTCCGCCGCCCTTCCACCGAGGAAGAGATGCTAGCTCCTCCGATCCCCGAAGGCAAGGCCTGTTCTGGAGCGCCCCCAAATGGAAGAGGGATCAGATCGGATCGGATTAGCAGCCCACGAAAGCTTCTCAGTGAGATTACAACCAGCGGGGTGAAGCATATCTAGCCCCAGCCCATGGAAGAGGAATGGGAGAGGAGGAGGAGGAGGAGGAGGAGGAGGAGGAGGAGGAGGAGGAGGAGGAGGAGGAGAAGAAGGGACGGGCTCAGCTGACCCTCGCCTCCAAGACGGCCTCCGCCCTCTCGAGGATCATCTCCCGGATGCTCTGGAGGCGGACTCGTCGCCGGGCCTTGTCAAGCCGCACGGCCTCGGGTGCCGGGAGGGCCGGCGCGCACGAGCAGCGAGGTGCCCAAGGCTCGCCCCAGCCCACATGGTTTTCGCTCGGGGCGCGCGCTTTCCAGCAGTGGAAGCAGGAAGAAGGGGCATCTCAACACAAGTTCTCGGAGGCCCGCGCGGACTTCTTGGATCGGCGCGGGAGGCGCCGCCCGGGGTTCCCCCACGCCGATGCCCCAAGCCCGCGCGGACCTCCGAGAAATGATTGTCATCCCGCTTTTTGTTATTCGAGACAGGGCCCATGTGTCTTTCCACGCAAGAGACGGTCGAGGTAAGGAGGGGGCCGAGGAGAAAACCGAGGAGTGCGGAGGGCAGGGAAGAAGAACAGGAGAGGATGAGGCCACGAAACGCGCCTGCTGACTCTATGTTTCCACGAAGTCCAAGAAGTATGGCGGTGAGATCCACATCGGCGTTTTCTCTACGCAGATCCACTCAAACAAAGGAAAGCAGCACCACCCCAAGAGGCTCCAAATTGCCAAAGGCGCGTCGAGGCCAACATGTCCTGGTCCCCCTCCCCCCGCCCTCCCTCCCTCCCTCCCACCCTCCTACCCACCCTCCTCCTCCTCCTCCTCCTCCTCCTCCTCCTCCTCCTCCTCCCCCTCCTCCTCCAATATACACAGCACCCCTTTTTCCGATTGCGCAACACACAACGTGTCCAATCCGTTCACTGCCATTGGGGGACAGGGTCTGTCGGAACACCCCGGTCGGCAGATAGAAAAGGCTTCAGCGCAATGAGCAGGGACGCGTGGGCAGGATGTCAGACGTGGCGCGAGCGCACCCAGCCTGCCGTCTCCCGCTCTCCCTCCGCCTCCCCCCTCCCCCCCGACCCCGCACCCCGTCGCTTCCAGAGGCGGCGACGCGTGCCGTGGTGACGGGGTCTCTCCAGGCACGAGCAGCGGCATCGGCATCGCTTCCTCCTCTGGGTGCAGCGTTGGTTCACGCGCGGAGGCCCGGAGGCGGGAGCACGTGGCTTCTGGCGGAGCCCCCCTCTCCCTGTGCGAAGGTCCCTCCGCCGCCTTCGTCGCCTGCCCCTCGACGGCGTGGGCGATCACGCGCGTGCTGCCGAAGGTCTCCCGCTGCAGGTCGGGGTAGTAGCGGAGCAGCTTGGTTATGGACACGTAGCCCTCCTGCAGGGGCAGGCATAGGGCGACGAGATCTATGCATATCCACTGCTCCTGGCCAGGCCCATCCTGGGCCCAGGAGCTGTGTATATGCCTCCCTGGCCAGGCCAGGAGGGCGTATACACCGCTCCTGGGCCCAGGATTGGCCTGGCCAGGAGCAGTGGATATGCATAGATCTCGTCGCCCTAAGGCAGGGACCCCCGCGCTCCCTGGCACACCGCTTCCCCGGGACTCTCCCCCCTGTCGGGCGCACGCCAGCACGGATGACGGATCCGTGGCACTGCGGATCTCCGCGGGCCGGATCCACGATCGGGGAGGGTGCCCCCCCCGAAGCACGAGGGCAACGGCGCCTCTCACTTGGCGACGGAGCGCGCCGAGGGCGTGGGGGGGAATGGGACCCGTGGCTAACGCACGCGCCCTGATCCACGCGTGCTTGTCCTCGTTCCTCCTGCCGGTGCATTTCCCACCTCTCCTCTCTCCTCCTCCTCCTCCTCCTCCTCCTCCTCTCCTCCTCCTCCTCCTCCTCATCCTCCTCCTCCTCCTCCTCCCCTCCTCTCCTCCTCCTCCTTCTCCTCCTCCTCCTCCTCCTCCTCCTGCCCTCCTCCCCTCCTTCTGCCTCGCCCTCCTCCCCATCACGACGCGGTTCACCCCCCCCCCCCTCCGTGCTGCCCGCCCTGGGGCGCCCGAGTCGACCCACGACAGCGCCACGGGCGCCCCATCTTTACGGGGTCGGCGGGCGGTCGTCCTCCAGGAACGAGGAGGCCCGTGAGCAGTCAGGCGGGAGCCCAAATGAAAGAGCGAGTCGACCCACGACAACGTCACGAGCCCCATCTTTACGGGGTCGGCGGGCGGTCGTCCTCCAGGAACGAGAGGCCCGTGAGCAGTCAGGCGGGAGCCCAAATGAAAGAGCCCCCAGTGGATCGTCTTTAGACCGTCCGAGGAAATGATTGACCAACACTGGAGCCATTTTCAACCCCCTGCTGGGCGGTCTGGGACGTCTTTCGGCGTGTACGTGTGCGTTCAGCCCAAAGTGAGGCCCAGGAGCCGTCTGCGACCCTCTCGGCGAGCTAGCAAGAACGAGCGGTCACCGCGAAGTGAATTCAACGACAAGCCCACGGGCCCCATTATCTACCGGTCTCCCAGATGCATGTCGAGCACTGTCAGCCCGCAAAAGAATGCGCAGTAAGGATGCAAAGGCCTTCGAGGGCCATGTTGACGCTTTTCGAACGAGATTCGACAGCGAAAATCGCAAAAGATGGGCCACAAGGGCAAAGATGCAAGGATATCTTTGGAAAGCTGCTCATCTTTCATATGCGGGCTGACTGTAGCCAATGTCGGGGACCGTGCCGCATCGCCACTGCATCGGCGACGTCGGCGATACATCGGCGCCATCGGCGAGGAGAAATTGTGGCTCCACCTCGAGCTGCATCCATCGATGCATCGGCGATATCCTTCGACCCCACCCACCCGGACCCCACTTTGGGAGGCCTGGGAGATGGCCCCGGCCACCCCGTCCTTGTCGGCCCACTCGGTGGCCTGCGGGTCGCGCAGGGCCTCCAGCTGGAGGCGCCCGGGGGGGGCTGAACTGGTTGGAGCCCCCGAAAATCGGTCAAGAGGCGGGACGACGCCAAGTCCGCACAAAAAGTCAACGCCTGGACCCCATCCAGGGGTCCATCTGGTGCGATTTTTCGCCCTGGATCCTTTTTCCACCGCCCCCTGGCCGACAACGGCCCCCAGAGGCATGCATATCTACACACACACACACACCTAGATGACCACCCTTCGGGTGATAAGGAGGTTGTGGGGGGAGAAGAAAGGGGGGAACCAACATCTGACTCAATCGATCTCACTATCGATCTCACTCAACGGGACACCACGGGACACCACGTGACACCACGGGACACTTGTCGACCTCACTATCGATCTCACTATCGATCTCACTCAACGGGACACCACGGGACACCACGAGCCACCACGGGACACCACGGGACACCGCGGGACATCTCTCGATCTCACTATCGGTCCACTATCGATCTCACTCAACGGGACACCATAGGACACCACGGGACACCAACGGGACACCTCGGGACACCACATCGATCTCACTATCGATATCACTATCGATCTCACTCAACGGGACACCACGGGACACCACGGGACACCACGGTACACCGGCGGGACACCGGCGGGACACCAGCGGGACACCGGCGGGACACCGCGGGCCACCGCTTGCCGGAGGGAGAATCATTTGGTCCGGCCGGGGCCCAGCCACAAGCGGGACAACGGCGGGACACCGGCGGGACACCGCGGGCCACCGCTTGCCGGAGGGAGAATCATTTGGTCCGGCCGCGCCTCAGCCACAGGAGATTTTCCTCTCGCCCGCCCACGCAGCTTCGCCTCGCCCGCACGCACGGCACGCACGAACACGAAACCGAAACCGATTTCCTGGTGGGGGGCTCTCCGTCCCACTTCGATCTCACCCCCCAACCTCCGATATAATATATTTATACACTCCAGATATATATATATATAATTAATTAAAACTTTTTCCATAACATAGCAAAAACGCCCCACCCACACCCACCCCCCCACCCACCCACAAAAAAACATGCATATGTATAAAATATCGATATGCTTTAAAACAAACAAACAACAAAATCTCCTCCGAGATCCGACGGCGCGAGAAAATTGAAACATGACAGGAGCCCTGGACCTCATCTTGCTGCGCCCTGTCTCGAGCCGGATCGACATGTGAAAGCCCTGGGCACCGAAGCCTGGCGAAGACGCCTGGATCGAAAAAAGGTGGAGACGCCGGGACCGCACGGGAGCGGGGAGGAGGTCTCGCCCCGTGCTGCTGCATGACGCCCCTGCTGCGTTGTCGCAGGCGCCCCCGGGGCCTCCCCCCCGCGGCCCCCCCCGCGCGGGCGGGCAGGCCTCAGCGGAGGCGACGCCGGAGGTGCCCCCCCCCCTGGCGCCGAATGCGCCAGGATGGCAGGGGCGCCGCACTCAGTGGGGTCCCCTGGGCAGCGAGAAGTGCGCCCCGTATATGAATTTACACATTGAGCCCGTCCGCGTCCAGTCGTGAAGTGGCTTGGCCAGACATCGAATGTTTGACTGCTTAGCTCTCGCGCCAACCCCTCCTGCTGGCCGCAACCAGTGCTGACCAACCTCAGGGCCCCCAGGCGGCTCCAGGCCTCCAGCATGATCTCCAGCACGCGGGCGCTCCTCGCGGGTGCGGCGACGGAGACGAGCAGCCGCAGGGAGGGCACCACGTGTATCCGCAGGCACCGATACCAAACCCCCTTCGGGTCATGAAAAAATCGCGAGACCTCTGCGGGTCGACGTTATGAGAAAATCATGACGTCGGGGGTCTGGGTATCAGGGCGCGCCACTGGTCCATGCCTTCGGCAAGGCTCCTGGGCGAATACGTGTTATGCCCGCCAATGGGCTATTCTCCCTATCGTCCCCTGAGATCCTGGACTCCATTTTTTCACAGCGGGCGTTTTCGCCCGGGCGCGTGCCCCCGGACCCTCACAGATCGATCCTGCTCCCCGGAGATTGACGCAGAAAGATGGCGCCCAGGACTCTGGCGGTGACTTTCTGCGAGGTTGTTATCTGTTGGAGACGTCAAATCTGAGGGCCTTCAGATCTGACGGCACCCAAGCAAAAATTGCAACATCGCAACAAGTCGCCACACGAGCCCCAGACCCCATCTTCCTGCGCCAGTTTCCGAGCCCGATCGATCTGTCAGGGCCCTGGGGCCCGAACCCGGGCGAAAACGCCCGCTGCAGTGAAAAAGCTGCAGTGCCAGGCTCTCAGGTTAGGTCGGGCATGTCCTCCTACAGGCGGATCTTGGAAGAAAAATGAAGGATTTTCAAACAAGAAACAAAAAGACCCAACAACAAAAAAAAACGACAAACCGTCCTCCGACTATTTTCTTTGGGTTGGGGCTGTTCTTGGACACTCCTCCTGTAGAAGGACAGACCCGACTTAAATCGGAGTGATGGGCCTGTTTTCCACCACCACCACCACCATAAGTTGGAGGGGGAAGGAGGTGGAGAAGGAGAGAGGTGGAGGAGGAGGAGGAGGAGGTGGAGGAGGAGGTGCAGGAGGAGGAGGAGGA